GGACAAGATACGAGAAGCGTGACTTAGGTGGTTTGGTCATGTGAAGAGGAGGATCACAGATGCCCCGGTGAGGAGGTGTGAGAGGTTGACATTGGAGGGCCTACGGAGAGGTAGAGGTAGGCCAAAAAAGAGGTGGGGGAGAGGTGATTAGGCAAGATATGATGCAACTTCAGCTGACCGAGGACATGACCCTTGATAGGAAGGTATGAATGTCGAGAATTAGGATAATAGAATAGGTAGTCTAGGGTGTTCATAATAGTAGTATTGACACGCAGTCTCGCTTTTTGTTGGTAGTATGTTTTTATGACTAACCGTTGTTTTCTTTCATTGTTGATCACCTTACTATCTTGTTGTTTTTATTCTGCTTTTATATGGCTTTTTGCTACTATTCCTTCTTGTCTATATTTTCATTAATGTGGTGCATATACTTTCCTGACCCCTATTGAAAATAACCTCTCTATCCTCACAAGGTAGGGGTAAGGTCTGCGTACACATTACCCTCCCAGACCCCACGATGTGAAATAATGGTGGATATATTATTGTCGTTGTTATTGATAATAGTACCATTCTTTTTCAGTAAACCAAAAGAGTAACAAGAGGCCGAGTCATGTACCACCAAGGATTGTGATCTCTTAATATTTAATCACATATTTCGTGTTTAAAATTTAAGAATGAAAAAATTCTGATAAAAGATGCTTCTTTTATTAATCAAATTGGATTATTCAGAAGCTTCAATATGCATACCGAGCATCAAATAAAAGTTTTTTAAAAAATAAACGAATTGGGTATCATGGTTGTTCAACAAAGTTACAAATTGTAGAAAAACGGCAAAAAAGTACTCCTACTGTGTTTGGATTCTGAAATACAGAAACGTGAAACTATCATGAAATCTATAAATACCAAATTCCAAAAGTACACCCAAAAAACATTATCATAAAATTCTGATTACTTTCGAAAGAAAAAAAAAGAAAACTGACTAATCTTCCCACGTGCGAACTGCAACTCTGAAAAACCTTTACCACAATTCCACGCACGTTCGGGTCTCTCATCTCCAGCCACGTGGCATCTTAAATGGATCCCCATTATCAGACCCGATCCAACTGCCTGCACTAGTATATTTACCTGTGTGTGTGTGTGTGTGAGAGAGTTTTTATACCACAAAATTGACTTTTCTCTGTTCCCAGGGTGGTACTTAGAAGTTTGGAATTTTGTTTTTTGTTTGTTTTCATTTTTTTTAATTTTTTTTAGCTCATTTGTAGGTCTGAACATCAGGTTAATTAAAAGAAAAAAGGAAATGATTTTTTTTTATTACTTTAAGAGAGAAGATGAATTAGAAGGAAGAAGGAGAGAATAGTGCTCATAAAGTTCTCTTCTTTTTCACATTTCTTCTCTCTAATCTAAATAAAGATCAAATCTTTATTTGTGGGTTTTATTTCTTATTCATTTTCTTGAAAAAAAATATTACATGATCAGCTATAATTCTTGATACCCACAATTGGTATTTTTTTTTGCTTATTCTGAACACCCTTTTTCATAATCTATTATTAGTGTAAACAAGGTGGAAGTGTGGTTTCTTCTAATCTAATAAAGATCAGTTTTTTATTTTAGTTTTTGTCAATAATAAGATTATATTTGTTGATGCCCACAATTTGTTTTTGCTGATTCTGAACACCATTTTTGATAATCTGTTATAGTGTAAAGAAGGAAGGGGGNTTTTTTGTTTGTTTTTTTATTCTTGATTTGTGTATTTGGAATTTGCTAGTTTTCATGTTCAATGTAATTGTGATTATTGGAGTTTGATCTATAATGCTGAATGGAGTGTGAGACAATTCTGTATTTGGAGTTTAATTTATTTGTACTAGGTTCAGTTAAGTTGAAGGTTGGTTGGCTGCATTTATCTTTGGAGGTTGTTTAGATGCTTTCTGATGGGAGAATTTCAACTTCTTTTGGCGTAGCTCACTTTTTATTTTCATTTTTTCCATATTGCTAGGGGGGTTTTGGG